GCCGGTTCCAGCTGCGTCTGCGTGGATTCCTCTGTCTCTCTTCTGTGGCTACTGCTATGTCCATTTCTGCCTTACTCTCTCAGCCACTTTTGCTCTCCCCTCTTGCTTCCACTCTATTCATCTTCACAAAAATCCATTACAATTCATGGAATAGATTAAATCGGCGCCCTTTCGAGCTACTGCCCTTTGACCCAGTCAGAAGGCTAGGGAGCTGCCCGGCCAGCTGGCTCGCTGCATAGCTGGTCAAAAAATAGCAATAAAATCTCTGCATCACCTAGCCAGGAGTGAATAAAATAAACGATACCATTGCAAGAGTTATCGCCACGGCAATGGCTAGCTGTATTAAGGGCATTAGAGTGGCAAAAAATGAGAAGCGCAGGAGTTTCTTAGCTGTTTGCAGGCCCTGCAGCTGTTTCCGCTGTAGCGCTTCTTGGGTTGCCGCCGTTCGCTGCAGCAACTCATTGTCTTTCTGCAGCCGCTGTCTGAATCTCAGGGCTCCCTGCTTCATTTCATTCGCCGTCCCCAGGAGCACTTCCTCTAATCGAGGGTCATTGACTCCGGCTGCTGATGGAGCCTTTGTTCTGCGCTGCAGCAACGCTTCCCGATTTTTCTGTTCCTCTACCAAAGCATGGCGCTGGGACTCTGACACATCTTTCTGTTGCTGCACACTGACTGCTGCTTCTGCAGGGACGGCCAATGGTTCGTCATCGCTCTGTGCCTCTTTCGCCCATGCTTCAAGATCCGCTAGGACTAGATCCACTATCGTTTGATACAGCGGCTGCTGCTGTTGTTGTTGCTGCCAGTATATCCGTTTCTGTTTGAGTTGCAAATAGAGTGGCCATTCACTGCTGCTCTTTTCCTTTACAGTGGTGTAGCGTTGCTGTACTTCCTGGACAAAGGCCGTTATTGCTTCAGCTGCTGCTGCCACTGCTGACGCATCCTGCCGCTGCTCTCCTTGCAACTGCAGGTGATGCTGCAGCTTCTGTTTTAGCACATTCAGAGTCAGCACGTTCTGGGACACACAATACACAAGAAAATGCGAAAGCTACACTTCAGCTAGCCGCAGCGCCCTTAGCCTAAGATGCAGCAGCAAACTTGTCTGCTCTGGAGAAAAAGAAGAAGTTGCATTCGAAGCAGAAGCAGGAGCAAGGGATACAGCAGCTTACTTGCAAAAGGATCGCCCGAGAAACAGCTGTATGAAGATCAGACTCCACGGGCAGAGTATTTTCACTTTTGCGGTAGGTGCTGAAATCAGGGGTTACGGTAGAGCCCGTAGCGCAGTTGCGTTGAAGTTCTTGCAGCTGCTGGCGAGCGCGCCTTAGTAGCTGCAGCAGCTCGGCCTGTAGCGCTGGACAGAATGCTTCATCTTGCTGCAGCTGTAGTCTCGGCTGCCGCCTTGGTCGTGGCTGCTGTTGTAAGCCCACAGCTAGGTCGGGCTTCGGCGCGAACATATCTGCTACTGGGGATGCAATTATTGCTAGAACACAAGCAGAGAAAGAGGCGAACGCCCGAACAACATTTGTCGTTTCCGTAACGTGTCCGTGTACATCACGCCCTGTTGCAACCAACACTGCAGCTGCAGCCGTTGCAGCTGCAAGCGCCAAGCCGTCTGGTTACATGCCTTTTCGGTCTACGAAAATTCGAAACAAAATAAATTGAGAACGGCCGGTGCATGCAGCAGGGTTGCAGCAGTCGCAGCAGGTGCATGCTGCCCCCGCCTGCAAGATCTTTGCAGCGTCGCAGACAGCAGTGAAACCGGAGCGGGAGCACCAGAGGGACCAAGCACTATCACCACTGAACATTTTATCTCCTTTTTACACGCAACAGACAGCCAAAGAAGGCCAGCAGCAACAGCATATTGAAAAAGCGAGTGATCACGGCGGCAGCAACGGCAGACTAGCACGGTATTTGAAATGAGCGTGAGCACTAGCGGCTACAAGGACCAGAAGGACTGTTTAACTGAGCGTCATAAGTTTGGAAGATGCTTTTGCAACTTGGGACAGCGGATCTCTGGAAAAGTAGCACCAGCAGGACAGTCGGCGGCGCCCCTGTGTACTAGCTTCCTAAGAGAGCCTCAAAATACTCGCTAAACAGCAGCGCGACCGGATTCCAAAGTAGCTCCAGCTCTAGCTGCAGTTACACACAGCAACCGCAAGACAAGCAGGGAGCTGATGCAGGAGGAGCTGGAACAGCAGCAGTTGCAATCACAGCAAGAGCTTGGCGCTCCAGGGCGTCGCTTGAGCAGAGCATGATGCCCCAGTTTGGGAGCAAGCAACAGCAGCCATGGGGCAGGTAAACTAGTTATGAATGCCAAAAGAAACAGTAGAAACGGCGTCTGTGGCAACACAAGAGACACCAGTGTCGGAGGAGCAGCCGTGAGAGCAGAAACAATAATTTTGGCATCAGCGTCGGCGACAAGCAACGGGATGGGATATCGTTGTTGGAAGCAGCAAGAAACAGCGAAAACTAGCGGATGCCTACAATGAGTCGGCGGCGATGCTACTGTGATTGCTCAGGCAGTTCCTTCAACTGCTTCCATTGCCTAGAATGCTCCCATGGCTGCTGCCCTTGCTGCAGCAGTCGCAGCACCCTTGCACGTGTTTGCAAAGTGCAGGAACCAGGGAGCAGCAACACCCGTGCGCATCTGAAAACTGGTGAAAATGTGGCTTGGTACATGCTCATTGGCATCGGAGGACTATTGAAGCAAACAGCCCTGTGGCAGCAGCAAAGCACCTCGAAGTGGGCGAGGTGCAAACCCTCAAGTTTGTGAGTTCGTAGCTGATATAAGTTCGATGCAATTGCCCTCTGTAGCGGCACACCTTTGCATGCATATATTCCGGATAAGACATCACGCGACGGGCTCTGGCGACGGGACCTACATTGCAGGTCCGAATAGACAGAGCAACGCTAGGCAGTGGAGAGTTAAAGATCTTGTTGTTCGTGGCTTGTGCCTTATAGGCGCCAGTACGCCGAGTGGGTACCAGCACGAGTGGCACACGAACGTCTCTGCCTCGATTAAACCCGTCTGATTTCAGTAAGCCCGAAACTCTCTGGCTTCTTCGACTGTGTACGAAATTCTTCTTGGCATAGGTGGCGCCGACAACTGTAGCATCGCGAGCAGAAAGTGCAGCATTAGACGCTGGAGGGCCAGCAGCAAAATTGCAAACAGCAATCGCCTTGTGCCTACTTCTCCAGCTATAACAAAGTGTAAAACCTCGGCATTTTCGCAGCATCGTTTGATATGGTGGCGAAAGATATGGTGGTGGAAGATGGAACGAGAAAAGTGAAGCTTACAGCATCCAGCGACGCAGCCATAGTGATGTTAAAACCAGAGCATGGGGATTAAAAAATGGCGCTGAGGGCACCGCTCAGGATTCAAGGGGCCGTGAATGAGATGCTTTTCTTCGAGGTTTTGTCAGCTGATACTTCTCGAGGCTTTGTAAGCAATTTTGTTGATGATGGGGAGAAATCGTGGTGGCACGGTTCCCGGTGCATTGCGATAGTACTTGAAGGCTGAGATTAGGTGCCCCCGAACGCGCAACAGAAAAGAACGCAAGTCGCTGACCGAGGGGCCAGAGGAGTGGCAGCAGAAACGCTCTCCATTGCAGCAGTTGCACAGGGACCTCAAGCAGCAGGACAACTAAGGAACTTTAGTAACAGCTGGAGTAAAACCAAACAGCAGCGGCAGGTGCCACATTGTCAGTGGGAGACCTGGCGTCGAATCATCTTGAGATATGGATGACGACCTCATCCTCCAGTATGCGTAACAGCTGGAGCGGCAGCCGCATAAATAATGTCAAACGAGCTATGGAAGCTACATGCCGGAAACAGCAGCAACAGTACGCAGCACATGTGGTCGCAGCCAGCTGCACTCAAAGCGCACAAAACACGAGGAGTACAATGCAGGAGCCAAAACAGCAGCACGGCCTGCCTTTCAAGAGGCTCTAGTTAAGCCCCCCCTTCTTTGCCAATCGTCGCGAGCCAAGTAGAAGGGCGCTTGGAAGAATCACAAGGCACTTTGCGAAGCCAGGCAAAAATCACTCTACGCCCTAAGCAGTAAGCCCTAAGCATCGAAGAGAAACCCCGGGTGTAAATATGAAGACCAAGCCGCATACATCACGCTTGTGGCACGAAGATGACCTTAAAACATGCTGTTCTTGTTGTTTCTGAGGCTTTAGGCGCTGATGGCACGTTTTAAGGCCTGCAACTTGGCCGCCTTCATTTGCTGTCTGCTCTGCTGTCGATTTTTCTGGAGTGGAACTGCGCCGCTGCTGCGGTTGCTCCGTTCGGCTCTTGAGGAGCCGGGACGTTCGCGGGAGGGAAGCCGTTCTACCGACAATAGCAAAGCAGGACCAGCAGCCTGATGCGCTGCAAACATGCAGGGACTTCGAGGCGCTCCCACTTAGCAGCGCTTCTGTTTCGTATTAGAGGCATGATGAGACTTATCGCAGCGCCCGCAGGCGAAAACGGTCTCATGGTTAATGTAACGACACAAGCACTACTGGGAATCAGCACATTGGGGAAAGGTGCACTGGCCATTGAAGCAGAAGCAGGAGCCCGCACCATCAAGTGCGGTTTATTTTAGCAGCAGCTACGGCGCTCTACTTGGCGACAGCTGCGGTACTTCAATTTTGACCGCTATTTCCGCGCACTATGTCTCGTATTTACGTCGCGCTAACACCGCCTCAGCTGTTGCTCATGCTGGGCTGCTAAGCAGCTGCAGCTACAGCACAGCACTGTATGAATATATTTCGCATTTACTCATCTCTTGCGCCCACACTATACCGTTCAGGCAATGCTGGCCTGGACAGTATGGTCCCACCTGCGTGCAATTGAGGGTGTACGGTCAAGAAAGTCTTTTTTCTGAGTCATTGGTCTTTTAGAACCCTCACAAATACCAGCAGCAGCTGCAGCTGCTGTCGCAGCAACAAAAGATATGAATGTTTAGAAAGGAGGCATCTCTATCGTTCTGAGGAGTACTTATATTTGCATTTGCGTGTCTATAGACCTTGGGCGCAGTGGGCGCAGCTGCAGTCAAAGCCAAACTCCTCTAATCTCTGTCTCCGTGCTTTTCTTTCTAAGAAGGTAAGGTCTTTAATATACGAGATGCAGAGTTCTTCTCCTTGTTGAACGTTTCTGGAGGTCCTGAGCAACATCTGGCTTCCACTTGGAGTGTGGGCACACTCTATTTCCATATTCGGGCTGCAACTATGGTTCACTCGGGCAACTGAACAGAAGAACGCCGTTCGCTTCACAGCGGGAAACTCGCGACCTTCACCTACTGGCGGGGGACAGAGCTTAGACAGTTGCTGCTGCATGTACACCTGACGCAGCCTATGCAGCTGCGTACCTGCTGCTTCCGCTCCTGCTGGTGCGCCTGCGGCGCAGGCTGATAACTCTGATGTGTTCTGGGTGTCCCTATCTGCTTCTTCGTCGTTGTATGTGTCCCCTTCGTTTTGCTCGCCAAAGACAGCAGCCAAAACTGTCTCTTTCTCCACAAGCAACAACCGGAGATCTTTTGAGTTCTTGCCAGAGGGCAGCATCGAACAAAAGCAGAAAAATGAATTAAGAGGGTTGGGCGTGTCGAGATCTGAGTTACAGCGCTCGAAAAGGGAGAGAAGCTTCGAAACAAGGGACGGTGATACTAGATGCGCATACACCCCAGACGCCTCCTGCAGACCCAACAGCAGTAACGCAGCCCCTCTTTCCACAATCTCCGCGCGGCTGAGTTCTCGTTCCCCTGTGGCCTCATCATCTGTTTCTTCTTCGGTCGCTGGAGGTCGATGCTCAAAATCTGTATTGGCCTTCTCTTCTTGCCACAGCTCGTGCTGGTGTTCTAGCAACAACCGTAGCAGCTGCATGGCACCTGTAACGACGTCAGCATCATTTACCCCTAATCCTGGTGCAATTGTAGAATTGCAAGCTGCAGCTGCTGCTGTTGCTGCTGAAACAATTGCTGCAGCAACCAGAAGGAGGTTCTCACAATGCTCTACTGCGAAGCGCTTGAATGCCACAAGGGCATCCCCTTCATTCATCCTCCCCACACAAAGTTGATGATGTATGAAGTCGCTCTGTAGGCATTTCGCAGAACAAAAGGCCTCTCCGCAGCCTCCAGGGCAAGGTATCATTTCCTTTTGCACATTCCGTTGCTGACACTCGTGTTGCTCTTGCAGCTGCAGCAGCGAATCCCTGTTAATATTTGAGGCCTGCAGATGATGTAAGGAATCGGGAACAGCGGAAAAGAAGTGCAGCAACTGGGACAACGGGTCGCCAAGTGGAGCGCCGCAGCAGCAACAGGCCTTCACGAGACACTTATTAAAACTGTGTTGCAAGAAGAGCAGCGGGGCTTCAGCGTACACTACAAATCCAGCAGGTAAATCGCGGAGAGCCACAAATCCGAAACCTCTGTCCTCGCCATTGCATCCCCTTACCCGGGTCACCGCAAACGCGCGACCTTGGTGGTGGAGCTCCTGCAACTGCTGTTCATCCAACACTGGCCGCAGTGCCGGTTGCTGCAACAAAACTGAAAACTTTAGATTCTGCTCCTGCTGCTGCTGCTGCGGGGAAGACAGTTGAAGGGACATGTTCGTCAAATCGGGTGCGTGGTCTTGCGTTAGTTTACAGCTCAGTCAGCGTTGTCCGCAACGTCGCACAACTAACACAGGCGAAACAAAATTTACTGTATTAGCACTTAAGGATCTGGCTTTTGCGCAGAAAGTGAAGGGCGTAACGTTGAAGGTTTAGCGTAAATGTCCGAAGGCCTATGGTTCAGTGCTGCCACACCAGGGGGGGGCCCCACATCACTTGCGCCCAGGAGGAAACCAGATACAAAAAGGGCCCTATTCCATAAATGCACGATTGTAAACTTCAACTACTCACATTAAGTTCTGCGATAGTGCCAGCTGTGCCTTCGTCAGGTCCACAGATGGCGTCGATCAGTTTTCCACCAGGCCCCTTGTGGGCTACTTCGTCCTAAGTGTATGTACTATAGAGATCTCATTATACCATATATCACAGCTATCGACAGCAAAAGCTTCATATGTCGTAGTTCTAAGTGCGAAATTCCACTGAGCATGCACGAGCCGGCTGCCTCATATTCCACGTTGAAACCATAGCTCTAGAGTGCTGCCAACGGGTTCCAAGAATTAATGCCATTCGCAGTTTAGGTTTACGGGCCTGTGGAGGGCAATTAATGCTTTGGAACTGGTACTTCGCTGAGTGTTGGCAAAGCCGGGAGTCTAACGCGTCTACCATGCTTTCTGCTCACGTCGGCGGGCAGTTCAGGCGGTGGCGCAGCAGCACCAGTGGCCGCAATAGTCGCCTTTGCTGCCGCGGCGGCGGCTGCGGCAGCGGCAGCAGCAGCTGGTGATGCTGCTGCTGGCTGTGGAACTTCCACGGTTGGATTGGAGATAGTGAAGCTTTCTCTTTGCGCGAGATTCCTACTGAAGCTTCGCTTCCTCGTTTCCCGTACAAAGTTGACGCAGTCTTCAGAACTAGATTCAAACCCGGGGTCTCCGTGGAGGCCTCCCAATGCCCCGCCTGATGGTTCACTGAAGGCGGTCGAAGCTCCAGGAGCAGTAGCCGCAGCAGTGGCAACAGAAGAACGAGATCCACAAGGGGGAGACTGACGGGCGCAAGCAACTCTTGCTGCAAACAAAAGTATCCCGACATACAGTAGAAAATTTTGTGGCTCAAGCACGTACAAATGCTCAGGGCCGAGGTGTTTACTGCCACACATTTATACAGGTTGCTGCCGGCCCTGCTGCAAATTGTTTCAGCAAGTGAGCTTTACTTTGCCTCTTCGTCTCATCCTGTAATTCGTGCAGCACGCTGTCGACTTTCTCTATGAAAGCCTGCAGTCGCAGCAACTGCTGCTGGGCCACATAGTACTCCAAGGCTTGCTGCCTTTGCATCCGTAAAATTTTCCCTGCTGCAGACTGTCGCGATACTGCGGCTGCTGCGGCTGCTGCGGCTGCTGCTGCCTTATCAAGACCCGCGGTGTAGCATCGGAAGACGAACCGACTATGGGTGTATTTCTGCACGCAGCAAAATGCTAGAAGTAGCTGTTAAGTATGATTTATACACTTAAAGTGCTTGCTTCCCTGAGGGAGGAGGCGCATGTAGTCCCAACAGCTTCAAGACCAAGAACCGGACCTTAACAGATTTGTGTTAGTTTTACATGGAAGATGACATGGGCTTTCTGACAGAGCAGACCTAAAGCCCCTGCAGCACTTCGATGCTTGCCGTTGACTTCTTCTGTGGAGGCCTCCAGTCTGTCAGCGGTCGTTTGGATCTCTTCCAGTTCTTTAAAAATGTTTCCTTAATAGCACGGCAATCACACTGAAGCTTAATGATTCAAGGTCGAGAAGTCAGAGTTCCAAGGCATGAGCACCTGCTTCAATGACTACAGAAATTGAAGGGCTCCAAACATTGAAGTTATTCACAATGTTCGGGTTGTGGCGCTTCGGAACATATTGGGATTTAGCATTAGGGCTTTACCAAGTGTTGCGAGATAAGCCTCCTCTTTTCCTCTCGTTTCTTTTGTGAAGCTGGAAAAGGCAGCGCGGCGCTTCTCAATTTGCCCTAGCAATTTGAAACCCAGGAGTTTAATTCAGCCCCTTACAGCCAGTAGCGACAACGCCGGTACCTGCGCTGTGAATTGAATCACTACAGTTCACTTCAAAATGCTAGCTTTTTCTGACGGTGTAAAAGGGTCAAAGCTTTGGGGTAAAGGCTAACTGAGTATCTCTACATTTTGTTGCTGCAGCTCCTTCCTTGCATCCTTAAGGCAGCGCATCCGCCTGAGGAGAGCCAAGGGGTCTCCGTAAACACCACTAATCTGCCGCAAGAAAAGCCTGATCAAAATGCACAAGCATGAAGACCAAACAGGAGACCCCAAAACTACGCTCAGATTCTACGAGCAAAACGTAGAAACTTAAGTCACGTGCCGCAAGCTGTCTCGCTCAAGTCAGCCCATAGAATGCACGGCCCGGGGGCTTCCGTAGAAGCGTGTATGTCGGCCCTTAAGCCTTAATACTCGCTGTGGAGGCAACAAAAAAGATAGGACCAAGCTTACTTGTACGGCAGTAAGGTGGCAGCTTTCTGCTGCAGGTGCTCATCAGCTGCAGCTGCTGCTTCTAATGCTACCTGCAACTTCTCTACCGTTCGCCCTGCATCTTTGGCTCGGTGTCTGTAGAGACTTAGACTTCCTTTGCTCGCGTGCCCATTGATTACATTGCGGCGTAGACGCCGCCCACTGTTTCGCACGTGCTGCAGCAACAACAGCAGAGGCAGTTGCAGCGGCAGCCAGAACAACAGTACTAGCGACAGGCGAAGGCTAAGGAATCTCAGCTTTGTCTGAAGGCTAAAGGTTTACGCTTAAGGGCTTGGAATTCGGAAATCAGGACTTTGGCACCTCTTTAAAGGCCTCTCTCGCATCTACAAGGTTTGCACACCTTGCGGCTGCTGCTTTCACAACAGCAGTGAACTGCTCCAAGCTTTCGCTCTTGGAGCTAGCCAGCTGCCGCAGCTGCTGCCAACGGTCTGCCGCCAGGCAATAAGGTGCTGCTGCGACCTCGCAAAACAACGGCAACAACACTAATGACAGCATCCAGCGTAAAAGCAAAAGCAACGAAAAGCAGAACGAAACAAGCGACACGCAGCATAATTTAGGTGAAGCAAGCACAGCTGTGGTACTGGGTTTTCTGGCGATTTATGGCTAAGCATCTACAGCTTTAAGTTACCCTTTGACAGTTGCAGAAACTGACGGAAACCGTCGATCTGCGCATTGAGTTGGCTCATACGGAGCTGCTGCTGTTCGTATTTTTGTTGCTGCTGCTTCCGCCATTTTTGCCGTTCTGGCGACAGATTTCTGGGGCTGCCTGTCTGGTTGGTGCATATGCTGCTTAGAACAAGTGAACTCGGGCCCTCCAGCCAAGGAGGGAACTCATCATCAGCAGAAGCAGTTATGCAGGCACCAGCACTTGAAGGAAAGACCAAACTTTTCGATGCGGCAGTTGGTTCAAGACTGTCAGCAGGAGGCTGAGGAAGAGTGGCAGCATAGGCAGAAGCCAAACCAGGAGCACTGCCAGTTGTTGCCGCACCATCAGCTGAAGGATCGTCAGCAGGACCGCCAGAAGAAACCGCAGCAAGCGGATGAAAGCCTTCGTGAACTCGGGTACATGGCTGTGCGGTTGATGCATGTTCAAAATCCGGTGCGCCGCATGCCGTGCTGCTAAAAACGGCTGCGGCAGGACTCACGGGAGCTGTAGAACTCATAGCACCAAGTGCACTACCAGCAGCAAAGCCCGAAGAGCCGCCCGTGTCGTCGCAATCAGTAAGAAATGCATTTGCTGGATATACATGCTTTTGCTGCGGAGTTGTTGGCCGATTCATTTGCAGTTGCTGTTCCAAACGTTCGTGTTGTTTCTGCAGCTCTTGCCGATGGTTGACGCGTGAATGATTCCGTTGTGGTCCCTGATAAGGCTGGTGACTTTGCTGATGGCAGGCCTGCTCTGTCTCTCTCTGCTGTTGATTTTGCTGTTGTTCTTGATACTGTTGTTGCTGCTCCCCCCGTTCCTGAGGTTGCGACTGCCGCTCTCGTTGCTGTTGGTGTTGCTTTTGGTGCCCTTTTTGCTGGTTTCCCCGCTCGCACGCTGTTTCCTTCCTGCGCTGTGTCAATTCCAGCTGCTTCAGTTTCCTTTTCAATCTAAAGTAGAGCATCTGCATGGCATCCGTTGGCAGCCGTCGTTTGCTGCCACTCAATCTTTGTTTCCGTCTAAGCAACAGCTGCTGCTTCTGCCGAGGTAGTGATGGCTTCCTCTGCTGCACAGCACATTTTCCCTGAAGCAGCTTCAGCAGCTGAAACTGCTGTTGCTGCCTTAGTTTCTCTGGGTGCTTTTGTAGCTGCGGCAGCGGCTTCGTCATCCTGCTGAGGGCCGTCGGTGGCTTGCTACGCCGCCGTTGCACTTCAATTTTCCGCAGGAGCAGCTCGCCCGCTGCTATGCATGCTAGGTAGTACAGTAATTGTTGCTGCTTCTCTCTCACCCGCTCTTTAGCAGCAGCAAGGGCTGCGTTCAGTGCTACTGCAGCAGTAGACGTGCGTTGCTGTTGTAATGACCGGGGAGAGTGTCGAACTATCCCTGCTGTAGCGGTGGCTGCGGCTGCTGCTGCTGCAGATGGTAGCGGAGCAGGCTGCCCGGCTATTTGCAAAGCTCCCCATTGCTGCCGTGTTGCACGGTTGGGGCTGCTGGCTCTGGTGCTGCGAACTGCTGCCATTGATGCTACAGCTGCTGCGGCAGCTGCACTTCCAGTCATTTTGTCTGCTGCCGCTCTGTCTGGCAACATCAGCAGCGATGCCAGGGTTATTATCTCCTGGGCTTTGGAAGGAGAATCCTCCTTCTTCGAGTGATTTTCACCACCAAATATAACAGTGGAAGAAGGGACAGCAGTAGCAGAGGGTGCAGCAATATCAGGAAGTGTAGCGACACCCCAATCAGTTGGAGGAGAAGTAGCTGCAAGAGAAGATTCGGGTGCAGCAACATCCAATCGGTTGGGGGGAAGCTGCGAGGAAATGGCTTGTGATGCCTCCATCATGGTTTGGGTTGCTACTGCTGGTGCCTCTGTTGACCGGTAAAGCTGAATTGCGATCGCCAGCTGTCGTAGCTTCTTACATATATATGTACAGCCCAAAGCACACGCTTAATCGACGTCTACGTTTCTCTACTTCTCTCTGTCCCTTTATTTCGAAGGTTATGTTTGCGCTTGCCAACCTCTCATGTCTGTTTGTCTATTTCGTTTGTACTTTATCTTTCTAGTCGGGTCTGTCTACGTTTGTGTTTCTTCGCTTAAATCCTTCCCCTTGCCTCTCTGCTTTCTTTGTACGCTGTTTCTGTGCTTTGAGACTACGTGCCGAGACAGCACAAGTGCTGTAGCCACTTTGGTGTCGTTGCAGTTTCTCCTGCGCTGGCCGCTGCAAAAGCAATCGCTTGCGGGGTGTTTGCTGATGCAGATATCTCTATTCGCCTAGAAGAATCTGGCCCTAGGTTCTACTGGTTACGGTTGATAGATGCCGTGCACTACAGTGCACTGGAACACGTTGTCCGTGGGCCAGCTATCCGCTAGAAACTCTGGAAGCCCAACCCTAAGCCTTAGTCTGCGTGAATACTGGAGCAAGAAGGTGTTCAACATTAGGGGAACTTTTCACGGCTCTAAGCCCACGGGACCCACTTAGCGGGATACAATGGGAACGAACACCCGCATTCAGTAGAAAATGAACCGAAGGATACGGGTTGGGGGTCTGCGGAGCTTCTCCTAATTTTTTTGATGCATAAAAATGTGTGTTAATTTTGAATGACAGTGTGCGTGACGTCATCTGAGTTTTGTCTAACCGAACTGACTGAGAAAACACCCGGTCCCAGCCAAGGAGCCCGAACTGCATGCAACTCACCAGCACTAGGGTCACTCGTTGAATTAATGTTGGAAACTCCACTTACCCAGGTCTCCTGGCTAGCTCCCAGATTTCAAACCAATAAAAGCAACCACCTCAGTTTGAGCTTACAGGTACTATCACGTGCGTGAGAGTCTTTGGAGGAGTTTGCTGGACCTTCTCCAACAGCGGCTGCGGTGCTGATCAAAATTCAGGATAATGGTCCAACAGCGCATTTTCAAGTCTCTATGTTCTGGAAGCGTCTTGAAGCAGGAAAGAAGAACAAAAAACTTGAAGCTTCGGAATTCCACAACCGGGTTAGTAACTAAAAGAGTAGACGCAGCGATGGTGCACCCGAGTTGTTCAAGTATTTAACGACGCATGCTTGCCCTTTGATGCTCTTCCTTCCCCTGACATCTAGCGGATTCAATGTTTCCCTGAACACGCCGACAAGTCGTCAGCTACATATCAATAAACTCGAAACGTACGCCCATACCAGCAAGCACACAGAGTAGAGCCCACAACTCGGGCGTTCTATGAAGATTTCTCCTCTGTCAACGTATCGGTCGCGTGAAGTCTACCAATTTATCAAAAAGACCGTTTCGCTTCAAGCCGTCAAAACCATATTTTACAAAAGTCACTCTCCATGGTTCTTGTTTTGTTGGTCCGGTAAGGATGTGACGCGCACCGGTACCGGCGTTGTCGCCAGCCCCAATCTTAGGCTATTCGTAGACATTTTTAGTTTATTCGTGTTATTTTGCTAATGAGTTGCTTTTCTGTTGTACTATTAAGAAGTTACAGCGCTTATTCAGCGTCTAAATCTCTTAACCGCTGATGGGTTACCGGTTAGCTATCCTCTATAGGTGACCAGCAAGCCCTACCGTAGTGCCTGCGCGCTACAGCCCTGCTCCTGCTCACCATTGAGATTTTGCGTCTAGAAGCGTCGACGGCAGCAGTCGCGGCATCCGCAGCAGCAGCAGCAGCAACAGTTAAAGCAGTAGCTTCAGCAGCTGCTAGTTAACAGCAACCAAGAGCTCGAGGATGTGAATGTGGCTGTTCGACAGCTTGCTGCCAGGTGCACTGTTCCTGTTTGTATGTTGGCTCCGGCAGCAGTCCATGACAGCAGTTGCTTCTGCGGTAGACTGATGCAGCAGAGCAGCAGGAAGAGCAGCAGCTGCAGTTTCTACTACAGCACTACTGCCTACCACACTTGCACTTGAAATCCACAGCAGCCCTATGGTTGCTCATGGAGGATTGACGTCCTCTTCCAACTGCGCTGATTGTAGGTCGCAAATCTCTAGTAGTGACCCCACCTTGACTACGCATTGACCCATTTTGCCGTCTCTTCCACACTGGTGTCCTAGCCGCCCTTGGGCTGTCCAGAGGTGCTAGGTCGCCTACTTTTCTCCGGTCCTTGAATTTAACGGAAAAATTTTGCCAGGGTTTTGCACAGCTCGAGTGGCATGCTGTCTAATATATGCTGTCTACTAGCGAAGCTGCTTTCATCTCTATTCATGTTGATCCCAAGTGCTGGAGTCTAGTCCAATGCATGTGGTGGTCTCCATGTACGCTAATAATCTTGGTGGGCAGGCACTCAAAGGAGAGAAGTGCAAAAACACTCAAATATCCCCGGCTTCAAACGACCCAATGTGGTATGGACGCACCAGTGTCTTTTTCGGATCCAAGGCGCCAAATCACTTCCTTCGGAATATTCGTTGTTTCACGTCTCGAATAGCATTTGTCCAGGAATGAGCCGTTGACCTGATATCTACTAAGCTTATGCATGCACTCATGTTGTCTCCATTCGCGTGTCCGATCGGCTGCAAGGTCGTTGAATTTTGTTTCGCCACACTCATTTTTGCAAATATGTCCTGCAAATGCGCCGCGTCCCACTTCCACGGGCCTTGGTGTGGTCATATTACCCAGCAGGTTCTGTTGTTAGCCTTAGCGGAGTTACATTATGTGAATTTAGGCTCTTGTATTGGCTATCTGGTCTTAAGGGAGCCAGCGCCATCGTCAGCGTTGCTCGATTGGCCTCGTGCACTGAGCATTCTGCGATGTGTGGAATCCTACGCACCGGCCTCCAGCTCGTTGCGTGGGTACACAAAAGTCCCCCACTTACTTTGGTAGGCCTTTCAACCTTAAGAAACACTCGTATTGCATTTTCTGCATGCATGCGCGACTGGACAGGATGCCGTAGCAGCCCCCAAACGCGAGCTGACCGCAGTTTGGCTCTTACATAACGTCGAATTACTGATACATCCCGGTATCTACTCACTAAATGCAACAAAACCTGGATTAAAAGCAATAAATCGCCATCCTTAGTGGGGAAAGTTTGCTATTCCGTTCTCTGACTGTCCACATGCGCACTGGCGCCAACAGTAATACTGCAAGCCACAAATCCTGGGATAAGCTGCAGTGAAGCCAAAAACCAACCTCCTATGAAATTACGTTTCTTTGTTGGGTCACTCATGCATTAATCGTTTTTGTAGTGGACCATGTAACCTCTAAAGGCTGCTTAACTTCCGGCCACAAAAGCCTGGGATAAGCTGCAGTGAAACGCAGAACCAAACTCCCATGATACTGAATTTCTCTGTTTTTTTCTAGTCATACATTAATCGCTCGAGGATACTATATAACCTCTAGAGGTCGTTCACTGCCAGCCACTGAAACCAGGGACTAGCTGCAATGAATCCAGTAAGCAGCCTGCTAATTTTAATTGCGTAGTTTGATTAGTCAAACATTAATTGTTCTTGTATCGAGCTATACAGCACCTGAGGACGTTTTGTGCGGAACACATTGTTATGTTGCACATTGCATTTGGTTCCCTAGTGCACATCCCGTTAGTTGAGGTGATTAGACTAAGACATCTGCGAAAGAAGCTGATCATTGCCATTAACACTCAAGATATCTCGTCATCGTCTCAGACCATCATCGTCTCAGATTAGTACCTTGAAACTGCTTTCTTTAGACAAAAGTTTCCCACCAGGGAGTTCCAGGCAGCACTAGACCAGGGCAGGGCATGTCAAAATTATAGCCTCATTTCAGCAGCTGAAGCCACTGAGCTGGTAAGGCTAGTTGAAGGTAACCGAAAACTGAAATTCGAGTTTGTGAATGCTCATGCCGTGGACTCATGATGGTCTGCGCAAGTGTAGGGGCGGCCCTGCCTTCGTCGAGTTAGCAACGTTTCTGCGCCTTTTATTGCCCAGGGTTCACTAATCAAACATGAGCACGCCATTCCATAATATTCATTTACAGGTGAGATAATAATTAATACAGCACTACATTCAGCAGCCTGCAGACCTTGCCAAACTACTGAGCAAGCTGTGTGTGAATTGTAACTCGATCGTGTTCTCGCAGACTTACTGCTATCTCAACTCGACGGTATCGACTAATATTGTCAAGTTGTCCAAGGTTCTTACTGTCCATTACAACTCTAGACTACTAAAACTTTAGCCTAAAGCAACGCTGACTGTTTTAGTACCTCGGGAATGCGCAGCTGCTATGATGTCAACCCTTCATAGCTTTGGGTGGTCCGCAGCACACCATAGCAGGAATACGAGCCCCACGCTCACTGAAGTACAGCTTACAGAATGCACTGAAACGCATGAACAAATGAACAAAAAACAAAAACTAATTTCTTACACTGCCGCGTTTCACGTTTCGTTTTCGAAGATGCGCTACTGGCTCCTAATATCCTTCATCTGGTTCTTCGTCGGTGTTCGAGAACATGGGTTCTTCCAAGCAGGGGGTGCAGCCACTCTTACGGTTGGGGCCGAACTCCCTCATAGTGAATTATGTGTGCAAAACCGGAAAATTTTGACTGTCTTCAACAAGCTTCGCCAATCTGCTATTTCTTTTTTCCTCAATCTGGCCGTCATCTTCATCGGAGTGGCAGTGGCTTTTGTGCTTATGCAGTGCCACAGATACCTGAAAAATCACTGGACAAACGAAAATAGCTCCCCACGTGGGCGTCGAATGTCAGCTGAAGAAGAAAATAGTAGCTCAGTAAGTTAGTAATAAATTTCAAGGACCAGAGCAGGGGTTCTTCACCACATTTGCTGCGCCCCCTTCGCGCTACAATGTAGCATCCGGGGCCTCTTCTTGGATTTTTTGAGCTAATGGTGGCTGCCTTCTTTTCTTAGAAATAATTACGCCGGAAAAACGC